GGGGGGGGGCTGCGTGGGGCCGGAGGGACCCCGGGGACGGTGACGGTGACTGGATGAGTCTGTGGGGACCCCCGTGGGTGCTCGGGGGACCCTGCCCTGACCCCCCCGCTGCCCCCGCCGGGACCCCCCCGGTGCTGGTGCCTGTTCAGGGACCCCCCCAGTGCCGGTGCCAGTACCCGGGGGACCCTCCCTCGCCCCCCCTCCCTCCGCCGGGACCTCCCGGTGCAGGTGCCGGTTCAGGGACCCCCCAGCGCCGGTGCCGGTTCCCGGGGAACCCCCCCGAGACCCCCCGATGCCCCTGTTGGGACCCCCCGGTGCCCAGCAGACCCTTCCCGGAACCCCCCCGTCTCCCTGCCTGGACCCCCCCAGTGCCGGTGCTGCGGGGACCATCTCTGGACCCCCCCGGTGACCCCTCCCCGGACCCTCCCGGTGACCCCGCCGGGCCCCCCCATTGCCGGTGTCTGTTCAGGGACCCCCCCCGGGGCCGCCGCCGATGCCCGGGGGGCCCCACCGGGGCCCCCCGACGCCCAGGCCACCCCGCCCGGTCCCCCCTGCCCCCCTCCCGGTGCCGGGGTCCCCGGGCGGGGTCCCCTCGCCCCCCCCCCGTTCCCGGTAACGTGACCCGGTGCCGAGCGGCTCCTTTTCCACCCCATTAACCCCCGTCCCGCCCCCGGCGGCTCCTCCCCGCCCCGGTTCCCCCCCCGGGCCGGGCTGGGGGGGCCCCGTCCCGCCGCCGCCGGCCCCGCCGAGCCATAAAGCCCATGGGGAGCCGGGCGGGCTGAGCACGGCGGCACCCGCGACCCCCCCAACAAGGGAAAGGGCGGCCGGGGGGGGGCCCGGGGGGGCCCTCACCCCCCTCCGAGGGGGTCCCCAGGGCTGTGGGCACCGGCCGGTGGCGCTGGGATGGCACCGGCACCGGAGAGAAGACCCCGGAGCACCCCCCCCGTGTCCCACTCGTCCCCCCGGGTGCTGCTCCCGTGTCCCCACATCCCAGTGTCGCCATCACCCCGTCCCCGTGTCCCGTGACGCCGTCACCCCCTGTCCCCGTGTCCCGTGACACCGTCACCCCCCATCCCTGTTCTCTGCATCCCTGTGTCCCTAAATCCCTGTGTCCCCACAGCCCCAAATCCCTGGGTCCCCATACGCCATGTCCACCGTCCCCACACCCCATGTCCCTCATCCCAATGCCCCCAAGTCCCCATATTCCCATATCCTCACGTCCCTGCATCCCCCTGTCCCCATTTCATGGATCACCACATCCCTGTGTCCCCGTATTCCTATGTCCCCAAATCCCTGTGTCCCCAAATCCCTGTGTCCCCAAATCCCCACGTCCCCATGCCCCCAAGCCCCCATATTCCCATAGCCTCATGTCCCTGCATCCCCCTGTCCCCATGTCACGGATCACCACATCCCTGTGTCCCCAAATCCCCGTGTCCCCATGTCCCCCTATTCCCATGTCACGTATCCTCACATCCCTGTGTCTCCATCCCCTTGTACCCCATGTCCCCCTGTCCCTGTGTCCCAGTGTCACCTTATCCCTGTGTCCCCATATTCCCATGTCCCTGGACCCTCATATCCCTGTGTCCCGGTGTTCCCATATCCTCACTTCCCTGTGTCCCCACGTCCCCTTCCCCTGTGTCCCCGTCACCCTGTGCCCCACATCCCCCATCCCCGTGTCCCCACATCACACGGCCCCAGGTCCTGTGACCCCAAGGCTGCTGTCCCTTCATCCTCATATCCCTCCATCCCTGTATCCCATATCCCTGTGTCCCTGTGTCCCCATATCCCCCCATCCCTCTATCCCATATCCCTGTGTCTCCACGTCCCCCCATCCCATATCCTATGTCCCTGTAACCCTGTATCCCATGTCCCTGTATCCTCATATCCCGCCATCCCATATCCCATGTCCCTGTGTCTCCACATCCCCCCATCCCATATCCCATGTCCCTGTGTCCCCATATCTCCCCATCCCATATCCCATGTCCCTGTGTCCCCATATCCCCCCATCCTTGTATCCCATGTCCCTGTATCCCCATATCCCCCCATCCCATATCCCATGTCCCTGTGTTCCCATGTCCCTCCATCCCTGTATCCCACGTCCCTTTATCTCCATATCCCCATATCCCCCCATCCTGTATCCCATGTCCCTGTGTCCTCATGTCCCCATATCCCTCCATTCCCATGTCTCTCCATCCCCATATGCCCCCATCCCGTATCCCATGTCCCTGTATCCCATGCCCCTCCATCCCTGAATCCCGTCTCCATGTCCTCCATGTGTGGGTTATCCCAGGTGTGGATTATCCTGGAATGTGGGTTATCCCAGTTGTGGGTTATCCCAGCTGTGGGTTATCCCAGGTGTGGATTATCCTGGAATGTGGGTTATCCCAGTTGTGGGTTATCCCAGATGTGGATTATCCTGAACACGGTTCATCCAGGCATTGGTTATCCTGCCTGTGGGTTATCCCAGGTGTGAATTATCCCGGCTGTGGTTTATCCCAGGTGTGAGTTATCCTGCCTGTGGGTTATCCCAGGTGTGAGTTATCCCGGCTGTGGTTTATCTCAGGTGTGGATTATTCTGGATGTGGGTTATCCCAGATGGGGATTATTCTGGATATGATTGATCCAGGCATCGGTTATCCTGGAGGTGGGTTATGCTGGCTGTGGGTTATCCCAGTGTGGGTTATCCCAGTGTGGGTTATCCCAGGTGTTGGTTATCCCAGTGTGGGTTATCCCAGGCATGGATTATCCTGGCTGTCAGTTATCCCAGGTGTTGGTTATCCCAGGTGTTGGTTATCCCAGTGTGGGTTATCCCAGTGTGGGTTATCCCAGGTGTTGGTTATCCCAGGTGTTGGTTATCCCAGTGTTGGTTATCCCAGTGTGGGTTATCCCAGTGTGGGTTATCCCAGGTGTGGGTTATCCCAGTGTGGGTTATCCCAGTGTGGATTATCCCAGCTATGGGTTATCCCAGGTGTTGGTTATCCCAGGTGTTGGTTATCCCAGTGTGGGTTATCCCAGTGTGGGTTATCCCAGGTGTGGGT